CTGGGGTTAGTGGCAAAACTGCCCTGTGACGATTGCACTCAACCGTAATTGTGAACAGCAGGGAGGTACAGTAAAGGGGTGTCTTTCTCTCACCTTGCTTATTCAGAAAACACCCCAAAATCCTCAGTCAGGCTAGAGGCCTGTCAGGATCTCTCAGCTCTTTACAAACCAGTCAGTAACAGAGGAAGTGATGCTACTAAACACTGAGCACCCCAAGCTCCAATCAATATAAAACACCTCGTTCAAAGCAAAGCATTGCTGTTACCTTGTCGTATTTCGGCAGAGCAGGCCCAGATTTACTGGGAAAACGGAGGAAACTAAACCAAAACACAAACAATATCCTCCCAAATCGGGGCTCCCCAGAGCCCCACACACACACTTCTGCCCTCATCACAAGGGAGGACATGCGGCCCCCCCCACCTACCAACCCACTAGCAGGCAATTTTCTAGCGTGCTGTCAAACAGAATTATCACAAGTTCCATTTTCCAGAGGAGTTAAGTGCATTCTGCAATGTGCTATCTACATATTTTTAAGCTTGATTCATTCACTCAATTCCTAAATCAGCAAAATTTAACAATCTTCAACATCTCTCTGCCATGAGTGAAATTTCTTTTACTACTGGGAAGGAGAGACGAGGTCAAGAAGGCTTGGGAAAATTTGTTAGCATGATCTGTAATATGAATTTGGCAGAAAAGAAATTGAAAACATTTCTTTGGAAAACAATCAAAGGGCAAAGTTTTCCTCTCGGAGCTGCATGGTAATTCATGACTTACATGCTCCAAAGAAACTTGCTGCTCTGATGATTAGAATAGCAAACTATTTGCTGTCTGCCTGACAGACCAAAGATGGTCATTTTTCCTCCTTTTGTCAGTATCTTTCTGTTCAGGCAGGGTCACGTGTGTGTCCCTTGACACACAGATAAAGATTGAATGATGCATCTCTGCTCAGGAGGATTAATCCAAGTTAAGATAGGGCACAAAAAGAAATGACAAACAGCAACAGGGCAGAAATTCTGGCTAAGTGTTGCAGACTGACAGATGTTTCCTCTTACCTGGATCTCAATGCTCTGGCTGTACATCAAAAGTCAGCGTCTTCCTGGTTATCTGCTCACAACATCTCAACACACASAAGCCACCAATACAGCTGAGGACCYTGAAAGCCTCTGAGCTGAGGAAAYTTGAGCCTTCAATATCCAACAATGCAAAAATTACAGCGTGCGACTTATTGCCAGTGAGTAATATGGTGGGCAGGAGCACAGCTGAAATCAAAAAAGGACTAGACAAACTCGCAGAGATGATGCCCTTTGATGATGTCTTTTGATTTCAATCGATGGGTGCTTACTCCGGCTCCATGAGTTTCCAAAGCACCAGTCCATGGAATGGGTATGCCCTCAGGATGCCCTGTTTCTGTGCTCTTCCCTAAGYATCTCCCACAGCCAATGCCAAAGGTAACTGTGATACTCAGATCCCACTCTGTCCAGATATGACATTTCTTATGCTACAATCAATGCAAYCATAAAACCAGACAAGAAAATTTTCTTGGCTGAAGTTTAAAAGATGTAAGATWCAAATGTCAAGAAAATGTTGTATGGAAAATCTACAGAAATGGCTGGAAAGAGATAAATGAAAACTTTGAAATATTCAYSTAGACCAACCTCAGTGAAGGGAGGYAAAATCCCGAGGCCACCTTTGCAATCACTGGAGGAACAGACTCACAGAAAAAGGTGGCACGAGCAACCTCCAGGGGTTCCCATCATGAATGACCATCCACACTGGCATCCTAAAGGGATACAGCTCCACCAGCTTTTCTCCAGGAACACAGAAGTACCATGGTCATTTAGGAGAATAACTATTTTGGACCATCCATCCTCACAGCCTCCTGATGTCAAGGCCACAGGTCTCCCCTCCTGCTGCTCCTATTTCACCTGGCTAGGGTGCTTGTAGCGACTCACCTTTTCCTTTTCTGTTCTTTGASTCAGCTGCAGAAACATTTAGAAACACATTCAAAATACACACGACTCCCAGCAGGCCTAAGGCAACTCTGTGGGTGAAGAATTCTGCATGAACAAACCCCCCATTTAGTGAACTTTCTGTTCGGTCAATGACAGCTCAGGCTTTAAAGCAGTACTACTGTGCTTTAAAACAGTCCACTATGTAAAATGCCAGGTCATTTCTACCCTGTAGAAAAAAAATATTTTACATTCTGTTCTTTCTGCAGCATTACTAATTGCATGTCCTGTTTCAGGCTCTGCATCTGAATAGGACTCTCAATTACATGACTCACTGCAACTGTCCTTTGATTTTTTTATTTTTTATTTTTTTTGTACATGTGATCTGAATCCACAACTGCTGGAGCCTGAAGCTTGCTCTGCACACTCAAAGTGCCACAACAAAATGGCTTAAATTCACATTCCAAACATTCAGTTTGGAGCTACTGGTGGCAAGCAGTGCAGTGTTTTGTCACCGCTGTCACTTCCTCGTGAAGGGAAGTGGAGAAGCAMWGGGGATTTCACCTTGAACACAACTCCTCCCTAGACTGCCAGCTGCCAGAACTTTGTGGTCCTCTTCTGCACCCTTCTGGGTCAGCCCAGGGCCAAACCTGTGCTCCAGAGGCTTTTCAGCTGACTACACCACGCCCATCTGGATGAACACATTTGAGAGGTCAGTTGGATGATGTGCTGAAGSGCCTGATTCAAACAGGTCAATGCTGACTTTGCCACGTTTTGTGSTCAGGTAGGCAGTGTAGGTTATTGAAGAAAATGTCTTTTTTCCCACTTGCAAAAAGCTGAATTTGAAGCCTAAGCACAGTGGCTTTTCTGGGAAAACAATTTTTCTTGGAATGCCAGTTACAATTTTAGGAAGGAAACAGTGTGACAATTTTCAAATTCAAATCAAAATTCAGTGCTAAATAAGAGAAGCAAGGCATGGGAAGAAAAGGTCATGGCAAAACACTCTAAAACAGGTAAAAAACTTTCTTCTCTTTTTGTCTCCTTTCCCATCACTTTCAAGCCAGCTTCTTACTAGAAAAGCTCTTTCCATCTAAACTTCCATCAYGCTGTCAGTAAAATGCAGAAAAGTACTGCCTGAAAATAGAGCTTTTCTTTTACCAGAGGATAATTACCAGCTGTTCACKGTCTCATTATAAAATGCTAGTAAGGAACAGGATTTTGCCATGAAGATACTAAAAAGCATCAATATTATACCTTTAATAGRAGAAACTATACTATTTCATCTGTCCCCTGGAAAACCACCGTTTCTCTGGCAGACAAGGCAGAACACAACACCTCTTCATTTCTATGAGCTCTATCTGCTTTAAATTGAGAGCTCTGTAGGGTGGGAACCCGTTAGGAGCTATGCTATATATGTGCATTGTAAAGAACTTTGTTAGATCAACAGTGTAGAAAAAAAAGTCAAAGATAGTGATACCAAAACCTCAACTGTAGGTCCCAGGAATGACAGCATAATTATTTTTAGAGATGACTATAGCAGTAACTCAACATGACATGAGAGACTGGAGAAACAGCAAGCCTGATTTAAACCAATGGGAAAGCCAGGAATGCAGAATGGAGACTGTTCCTAATGCACCATATTGCATCTGAACATTTTGTTCCTACCCATCTATCCAAAGCATGACGCTTTGCATTTCATATTAACATTCTGAAGACATTAAAGGATTCTTCAATTCGATGTTCATATGCTGTGTCAGAACTCACACTCTGAGTGCTTAGAGAGATGCTATGTCTACCTTTTACTCATCTTCCCTCCCTCAGGCTCCTAACCATCCTCCTTACCACTCCCAAAAAATCCCAGGGTCTATTCTTTATTGGTATCATTATTTRGTTCAGCAGAAAGTTGGTTACAAATACAGTTTGTGGGATTTGGACTTCGCTCTGGATTTCTGCACTACCTCAGCTGTTATGCATATGTACTAAGACTGACTGCTAACAAATCATCACAGTAATACTTGAGGTTGATATACTATTTCTCATCTTCAAAGCACGTTAAAATTTCCCAGAGGTTCTACAAAATCTGGGAGAGGGAGAAAGCTAYGGGCAAAAGTCTTTGTTTAGCATAGGTCTTAATATAAACCACAGTAAGTCCCTTTCTGCTTAGCACTACAGCAGGAATGCTGCAGCCCTCAGATTTAGGTCTGAAGTGCTAAACAATGCTAAATTGCCAATAACACATTTTCACTAAAAAGTATTTAAAATACTCTTTGTCATATGGACAGCTCTCTTCAAAAGTTCTGTTCTCACCTTTGAGTTCAAAACTAGGGAAATGGTGACAGTAGCATAATGTCTTGGGAGATGGATTTATGTCTCAAAATAAAGGACATTTTGATTTCAGAAAGTTTTGTTAACAAAAAAGTCATATTTCATAGGAATAAAACAACAAAGAACATAACCAGGATTCAAAATATTTTTTTAAAGGTAAAACTATTATAGCTTCACAAATTCCTTCCGTGTTCAAAAGCAGCCAGCTTTTAATAGCTGCAAGGAAACTCTCACTAATTTGCTGGCTATCACTGGMAAGAGCAATCAAGAGAATTTGCAAGTGAATCATTACAGACCTCGCKTCTCCTTATCACCTAGCAGGGGAAGAATTTTTCTCAGTGCATGACACCATGTAAAATGCTCAGTCTCCTCCAAACACAGAACCATTGGTTTGCAGGAGCTCCATGCCCACACTGAACATGCTCTGCAGGGCACAGGCAGGCTCCTGGTGCCCAGGCACAGCTCCTGGATCTTGTCTTTAGCTGTGGAACCACCTCCTGCTGCCCAGCACATGGCAATGACCCTTCTGGCTGAACSTTTGGCCCTGCACCCATCAGGAGCAGCCCCTGCAAACCAGACCTTTCAGGAGAACTGCTACAAGCTATTCCTTCTTTTGACTGGGCTGAGCCAGGCTTGCAAATTGTTTTCATTTACCACCGTGAAAAAAATGAGAATGAAATGAAACAAAATCTAACTTTTTACYTAGCGATAAAGAAATATGAAAGTGCAATAAATAAAACACTCTATTTCTCTTGTGTTCCACTAAAYATGTAATCCAATCCAGCCTTTACGCTTCAAAGCAGGACTTGTATTTCACATGCTTGCTAGGGCACAGAGTTCTGTGACACAATAAATACAGGCTGTGAGCTTGAAACATAGATGTTAAACTGGTTCTTCTGAGGTCATTTATTTGGTTGGATYCCTTTTAAGCATGAAATATTTCTATAAGGTCTGGAAAAATATGGAAACATTCTCAGATGAAAGGATACATGCATTCCAAAAAAAAAAATATCCATGGAAATCTAAAGGAACTCTTCTTGGGAATACTGTAGTGCAAACTCTTCAGTTATGCAATTTTAATATGGTGGAAAGAAAGAAGTGTAAGCTATTAAATTTGTTTTAAAGCTTAGGAAACAAATTAAAACAAAATAATATACATTTTATTAATGAATAGCTACAGTGAAAAGTGTGTAATTACATGYTAATTAAATTCTTTCCTTATTGTATCTGCAGTGCCTCAAAATGATTTTTTCTCTCTATGTATTCTCCTTGTAGCAACATTGCCTGAAAAAAACCATAGGTGTAAAGCAGAAACTGCTAAATATTTCACAACTTTGAGAATGAAATTGCAGCTTTTTTTTTTTTTAACTTAGGATTTCTATTCAGAAATAAACTGAACTTCAACATGTTTTAATTATGTGCTCTTCCGTTTATAATCTTCAACTTAAGTCTAAACTAAACAACAACGCTGGCAGAACACGGTAAATTTGAGGGACTGAGATGAAGTGCTTTTAGGTAAAYGTTAACAGAACCATTTTCCTATATACAGAAGTAATTTTGCTCAGGCAGCGAGCCAGCCTCTGTGTATACCATCACCTACTGCCCAATTCCTGCAAAATCCAGCATCATCTTTCTTATCTGGCTATTTAGGACTTCTCAATTTTTCTGTGCTCCAAGTCTAAGCTTCTTCCTGCATTTTCAGCTTTTCATTSAGCCTGTAAAGAAAATCAGAAGAAAGAAGTGGTTATGATGGAGCTATCTTAGGCTGCACATTGTCTTGGTGGTTTTGACACAGTGTAGTGCAGCAAGGCAAACATTATCCCACACACCTTCCTGTTTTGCAGGCAGAACGGTGTTCCAGCCTGTCCTTATGTGATAACACCTTATCATATTGCTGTGCACAATTCCAATGGATGGCATGGCTGCTGWGAGCTGGAAGTGATCTGGGACAGCCATTCCTCACGTAACCATGTCTTGGGAGATGGGCTAATTTGCCTGTATTCTCAGACAGCCTTTACCAATAGACACCAAATCAGAAAAATTGCTTTGGGATCTGGTTGTTGCCACTGTTTTCCTTTGCTGCAGATGTTTGTTCTCTAGTGTAATGTGTTTTATTGAAACAGTGCTGGAATTAGAAAGCATTACTGAAAATGAACAATAAAAACCCRTATTTCTGTGATGCTGCTTGTCTGTCTTAATTACAAATACAATTATGAATTTGTATCTCATTCTGGAAATCCAAACTGCTATAGTCATTGAGCGTTTAATTTGCAATGTAACATTTTTGGGGAAGGTACAGAGGTAATGAAATCTTTGGCAGTGATAATGCATAGCAATATCTGATTCCACGGCATTTGGAAATATGGAATCACTGGATAAAGGTCACAAACACTCATGGTTTATGGGTAATTTATGTATATTTCTCAGCATCAGCACTGATTTTGCAGAAATACAAGAGAAATGGATGTGGTGCAATGACAGTATTTATAACAACTGGGACAGGCTCAGAGGTCTTTTACAGTCTACATAAACTGTTCCAAAACTCAGAGTTACATTCTTAATGGCATTCAGGTAATTTTGATAAAGCAAATGGATTTGTCCCAGAAGCGCTTGCAGTACTTTGACACTCTAGGAACTTAGTGGCTTGCCAGTTCTAGAATTCCCTACTAGTGCTATTCTGCAATCTATCAATGGRTAAGCACAGCTGAAATGTTTTCTAAGTTCTCAGTAGCTCAGATTAGAACCAAAAGGCTGGAATTTCTCTCTCAACTTTGTATCTTTSCAGACAGCCTTCACAATATTTAATCCAAGTATGAACAAAAATGTCCTCATTCCTTTACATGATGTGTACTTGGTTGCTGGAACGCTGATCCTCTGGGCTAATCCTCTCCCAGCCACTCCAGATGCCTTTTCTTCTCCAGCTTTCACATACCTCAGTCTCTGGTCCTACCTCCAGTGAAAATCATCTGCCATCACACTTCACTATGGCTGCTGCTGAGACCACTGAGTGTGGTATCAGACTAAAAGTTATTTTTTAGACTCAATTAGAGCAACATCTGCCTTGTTAATGAATATGTTAAGACATGATGCAGATTATGAAATCATATTTCAGGCATAACAAAAAAYTGTAGGAGTTTGATCATGAAATCAGGTAAAAATCTAATTATGAGATTACATCAGATGTCAAGAAACAGGAGAAAAAGATACATTGGTGAAAGAACTAAAACCTGAGGGGAAATAATTTTCTTTGAATACAACCAGTGTTGCAAAAGAAGAAAAAAAGAATTCTCATCTGTCCAGTTTTGTAAAGAAAAAACTCTTAGCACTGACATTAACRGCATCAAGGTCAAGTGAAAACCAGAAATTCATTCTTTTCTATTGGTAGGAACAGGAGTAAGACAACATAGGCCAGAGATTCCCTCCCATTGCTAAAGACATGTCAAAATGGAATATGAACTCAAATGATCTAATGATGGCATCATTATTCTAATTCATTTTCTCCATTGATGCATAGTCCAAATAAAGCAATTTATCCATACCACAATATTTTCAGATAATATTAGACATTTATTAAACTGCTGCTTAATCAATAGGGTCTAACATGCTGTATCTGAAGTTCAAAGTGCCTAATGCCACTTGCCTGTTGCAAGTAAGACCAAATTCCAGCGGTTCCTTGGTGTAACTCTGTTCTAGCAGGTTGGCTTTCAATCATTTCCTATCAGTTCCAATGACAGTAGCTTCCTTCCCTTCCATGACYCCCACAGAAAGAAATCAGGGGCCCCTCAGAGTCTGCAGACCACATACTGACAGCTGATCTGTTCCATTAAGGCAGCTCGTGTGTAGTCACACAGCTACCAGACAAAGCCCAAAATTGGCATAAGTGAGTCATTTCTTACACAAATTGAAGGACGTGTACCATAGATGCATCTAACAATTTATATTAAGCACACATTGCATATACTCCAGCACAGCAGCTGGTCCTGAGCCCCTGAGAAGGAATTTTATCACTGACACCACTGAGAGCAGGATTTGGCCCGTGTTTTTGACACACAGTAAGGCTAAAGATATATGTTGTCATATTACTGAATATTTTTTATCTTATCATATGTAAGCTGACTAAACTAGGAGTTATTTATAGAGGCTAATTCACATTTTTACAGCATATGGATGTGCTTTTTGCCAGCTTTAGCACAAATACAGTTTRTATTCATTAAGACTGAGCTAGCTAATTAACTATAGACAGAATTAGTGAATAGCTTTCTAGTAATAGTACCTCAAGGTTGCCAGTAATTTCATTCGGGATTTCACACTCTGCAGACTTCTCATCTTCAGCAGTGACTTCAGCCACCTCGGAGAACTCTGTCTCTGGACTGGGCTCTTTYCTCTGGTCAGCAACCTGCCACAGGAACACTGAGTTAGAGCATCCTCCTGCCCTCTATGAGACCCAACAAGGACAGCCAACAACACACAGGGCTGCTTTTGGGAAGTGCTGCCCTCACACAGACCATTGTGTCTGTCTCACATTGCCCAGGCCAGGCAGACACATCCCTGCATGGGGCGAGAGCCCAGCGGGGCTCACTCAAATAAATGACTGATTAATGCATTAAAAGTAATTTCATTCAATCTTAGAAGAGAAAGTATGCTATGTTCAGGATAATAAATGTCATCAGATCCAATGGAAATTCATAAAAAAATAGCTTAACCCCCCCCCCCCCGAAAATAAATTAAAGGGAACAAAACTATACTTGAGGTTCTGTCACTGAGGCTGARGGGGAAACTGCAGGTTGGTCAAGTTCAATCTCATGCTGGTAGTATTAAAAAGAAAAAAWAGTAATTCAGGTTTAATTATTGCTCAGAGGTTTCWTGCAGATTTTTTTTAATGGAAATTAAATGACTGGCAAACAATAAAAACCAATACCTTTTCTGTTACTATCCAGGTGCTCAGAACTGGAAAGCATTCTGAAAATTATTATAGATCAGCTTTAATTTCTAGTTGCATCTCAAGGGGCCCTCTTTATAATACGTCGAAAGAACAGATGATTTTCATAATTTCATAACACTACAGCTTCTTTTACTCATGTGGATAATTACGTTTAGAAAACACAGTGCTTAGGTAACATTCTGTCTTCCCAGTGCAAGTTTGTCACTTCTGAACAGGGACCTTGTTGCAATTTGAAATTGCAGGGCCTTATCAAAGGAATCAGTTGGAGTGAAGCTGCATCGATGCTAAATCAAATAAGGCCCTAAGAAAAATATTTTAATATGTAAGTATAATTTAAGAGTTGCTAATGGTCCAAGTTTTGCTGCTTCATCTTGTTCCTTTGCTGTGACCATGGGAACCTCACTGTGCTCTGCTGGTGTGTGACCTGCAGCTCCAGGAATGCTCTGCCAGGGGCACAGCTTTTCCCCTTGAAGCAGCTGCATGGAGCACCAAATCCATGCTCAGGATCTCAGGAGTGATGCAGAAAGCAGCCTCCATCCTCCAAAGGGACAAGGCTTTGTGTCCTACTTTAAAAAAAAATGGATGACAGAGAACATATGTGCCAAATAGGGCGAAAAAAGGCATTTGTGAACAAGCAAGGAGCAGGGTATGGCACTGAAATGGTGTGTGTGGGGCCTCCACCGGGGAAGTGCCCATCGAGAATTCGAGGCAGATGTTCCAGTTCTGAGTCAGCGATTACAAACAGCATTTTGCTTGGATGGTGTAAGTAAACGACATTAATTCACATCAGGGTAAATGCAGCTCCCATAAATTAATTTCCTCATACTTTTGAAATCGCAGTAGGTTGATATGTGGGTCATTTAGTTACTTGCTACAGTTAAACATGCTGAAAATATTAAACATTCTATGCATCTGCAGAAGTGACAGCAAAAACTGTAAATAAAAAGTTAGACCTAGACACTTCATTACAATAAAAATTTCTTTTGTAGTCCTAAAAGCTTTCCAGAACTTCTGTTTGGACTCTGCCACTGCCTTCAAGATTCCCCATCATGTGTGAGCTCAGTAAAGTAAGTAGACAGTATTAGTCCATGTTTGTGAGAACTGAAAAGGCTGACAGAAAGATTTGCAGATTATAAGTGAGGAGAAAAACAGATTTCTAGAAGCATTTTCCTCTACCACTCGTAACTCAAATTTTCAGCACCTCGTCAGTGCCTACATACTCACAAAAAGAATATCAGAGTTTGGGTTTTGCATCAAATGAAAAAACTTAGCTAAACTGTATTTCTTTCAAAAGTAAACACATTTTATTTTCAAATTCTATTTTTTTTAAAACTAGATCTCTTTTGATTTAGCAACTATTTCCATTTTCCTCTGATTTCTTACCTTATGTTTTCTTATAAAAAATATTAGCTGAAGCGGATTAGACTTCAGAATTACTTTCTGCTTCCTTAAAATAATATTTTTTGGTTAGTTAGTTACCTATTCACTCAAAATATATTTTTAAATTTAGATTAAGTAATTCCATTTATTCTCTCCAGTCCTAATTTTGAAAAAGTAAAATAATGCAAAGAAATAGACCAGGTTTTTAGAATCAATTCCAARCTGATCAAATACATTTTTGTAGCATGGATATGATTTTCAGAGGTTCTGTTTTTCTGAATAATATTTTTACTTCACTGCRTCTTTTTACAGAGAGCCATTCTTTACTCATCTGTTCCATGTCTAATAATAACCCTTGGATCATTAAGAAATAACTAAATTACAGCAGAACYAGGCTCTTTAATGAGCCATAATAGTCTCAACATTCAGCCAAAAGTTTTTTTAAAAGACTGTGAAACTTCTCAATGTAGAATATGAAGCATTTTGTTTAGTAATAACAAGTTTATGAGCTGGACTACAGTTTACAGCCAAAATATAGTGACCTAAAAATGCCATTCTGCATTGCTCCTTCCTATACATTGTGTCCTTAACAAGTCCAGGGGAAAATTAGAATGAATGAATTGTGGTGAGAGCCYGAAGCCAACAAATGTATTTAAATGAATCCTTCTGATGCAATACTTTCCTTTAAAAAATACAATTAGGTCTTTGTGCTTCCTTTGAACAAAACCTCATGTTTAATAGCACCAATGGCTCTGTAGTAAAATCTATTTAAAAACAGAAAAGGAGACACAGTAGGTTTTATACAGTTACAGTGGCTTTAAAAAAATGTTAGTTTCTGAAGTCTGAGTAAATTTATGGTGAATTACTTCCACTGACCTACATTAAAAACTTCATCCCCCTTTTTTTAATTCCTGAAGATTTGTCATTATGTGAGCATTATTCACTATGACAAAGATGTATTACTCAAAGTGTCCTCTTGAATCAATATAACTATCGCAATGTGAGAAACAGTTTGGCAAGATGATAATGCCTTAAAATTAATTGGCAATATTTTCCTGCACATCGCGGTCCAGCGGGTCCAGGGAATTCAAACATAAAGAAATTGTGAAGCAGTTGCACAAATGTAGCTGGCATATCAGTGTCAGCTGCTCTGAAAGGGACTGGAGGGACAATTAGGTGCACTATTGTTACGGATTCTGAGGTCAGGTGGGTGCCAGGGGGGCACTGGGAATGCAGAAGTCAGCAGGGCTGATGTGGGATGGGTGGGGCAGCAGCAGCACTTCCCCACTTCCCCCAGCACACACTGCTCTGGGAGGGCAGCCCTGTGCCACAGCCACACTCTGCAATTCTCTCTGGGTAAGTGTGCATAAAGACAGGCTTGTATAAAAAGCCCTGTGTTGTTCTGTACATAAACTCACACACTTTTYTCATGGTTGAGGGGTAGTAAATTGCCTTTTAACAAACGTAGGCAGAGAAAAGACAGTAAAATAGTACACAGGGAAATTTCTAAAACAGAATAATGGCAGGAAAGAAGATTGGTAAAGCATTCTAATAGATGAATTCCACAGATGTGGTAGTTATTATAAAATTAGCTTTGCATAACTTACCAATATACCATTACATTTTCCCCCAGATGTTATCTGTTACTTAAATTAATTCTGCTTAAGTTACTATTATTGCAGATTTTATCCATGCTGTATTTTATTATTTAAGTTTCTGTGGCATAAAACAAGCCCTGGCTGATAGTGTTACTTTTAATCATATATATAAGAGGTTTTAGCATTATAGAAATGGCTGCTGGGTATATCTTAATAGTCATAGCACAGAACGTCTGCTCTCAAAATATTATGTAGATTAAAACCAGCTATTTACTTTCACTCTAATTCAAGGCATTGGAAAGGTTTGCAGTATTTATGTATGTGGTATGAGGGGAAACAATCTACTCCAGGAATAAATATCAGAGTTTGGAAATTAGCAAAGCTAAGGTCAAGGTCAGTTTGSATTTACTGACGTACTTGCTGAAAATGAGAATTCAGAGTTTATGTTTACTTATTCCATAAATGAGAAAAAAGACTGAGAGGGTGATACATTTGTTTCTTTGATAGAAGGCTTTTGTATCACAGAAACATTTAAAAACCACCTTTTCATCTTTATATTATCTGAAATTCTGTACTCCTTTCCATACAGTCTTAACATAAATTCTTTTCAGCTAATCTTACCAAACACAAGAAAATAATTATTTATAAGGATTGGAAAAAGGATCCCACGTTCCACTCGGACCATTTCTACAGCCTTGTAACATCTTTCAATGCCTTTCAATGGATATGGGTTTGATTTTATATGAATGACAGATGAGTTTCAAAAAGGGAGTTCTTTGTGCATTATTCTATGTATTCATATTACCTGTGTAGTTTGTACTTGTATGCCATGGGACCTTACTCTACCAGAAGCCTGCACAGATTTCTCTCATACATATGTGAGATTTGCTATCAAACAAACTCTGTAATACAGGATTTACATTACTTTGCTATTCATGCTAAGCATGCCCGGCCACACACCTCCAAATGCRCTGAATTTCAGCTGCCGGAATAAAAGGCATTTCCAAGAGATGGTTTGTTAGCTGCCTGTATTTCATGTGGTTGAATCTGAATGAATACCTAATGGAGAGAGATGCACTGACTCAAACCAGCCTGCTTTTTTTATCCCTCCCCTTTAACCTGCCAGCGTATCAAACACAACAAATCCACCCCACCTGCCTGCGGTGGCAGCGCCCACCAGAATTCCCACAGGAGGTTCCTGGGAGGCTGCTGATAGCTCTACAAATACATCTGCCATCCTATTCTGCAGCATTTAATACATCAGGTCCAAGGGACCAAAGGATTTTACAAAGCACTCAAAAACTTGAGCCAGATATCTGATCTCTGTGGTGTGACTGAGGTGGCAGAGCTTCCTCCTGCACAGCCTCGCTACACACATTTGTATTAATATTAAAGTAGAATTAAGATCAGTGAGGGCCTAAAAATCTACCTCTGAAGGATGCTCCCTGGTTGCTAATGATGTACATGGAAATTCTG